AAAAAAAAAAAAAAAAAAAAAAAAACATGTCACTGAGCAGGTTGTATCAGAATATAATCTGATATGAAAGCTAACTTCCGAAGATCGTCTGCACAAGATGTTAAGCTGCTGGGAGTAAACCTCTTCCCCCTATACCAGGCGCCGAATTTCTGCTGCTAAAGGATTAGTTTCCCTCGGATAGCCTGATAGTCCATTTCACCCTGTAGCAGGCCGTTTTTCTGCTGCTGAAGCTTCATTTTCGTTTTCCTTTTTGTGTCAGGACCGGGGTCCAGGAAGAACCACTGGGGGGCAACAGTGGTTTTTTCCGTTCCTTGCCCATCCTTCCCACAGGACCCCTCCTTGGCCGTTGTGGGGCCAATCCCCGGTAGACTTTCGAGCCTTAGTCGACCCCACTGCGGGGCCCAGTTGGCTCGGCCCGCCCACGCTCATGTTCAGGGTCCGGGCCATTCGTCCCAAGGTCACCCCCACCTTGTGCTTTGAGATGGATGGGGGTGGGTCATCGCGCGAGAGAGCTTTAACATTGGGGATGTAACTCAACCCTCACGCCGGGTGGTACTCTCGCTGGTCATTCCGTAGCGCTGATTTTTTTCGATTCTTTCTTGTGTGCTCAAGCAATTGCTCCTTCCAATACGCGGGCAGTCCAGGGGTTCTTTGATAGTTTTTATTCCTTTGTGCGCAGGCAAAACGTCATCCTTAGGTCGCGCACCATTTCCCTAAACCTTGTGTTCCTACAGCGTCATTGGGGTGCGGCGAAGCCGTCCTCCCCCTCACCTCTTTGCACCGCTCGGGTCTCGTAATTCACATTCAACTTATTGAAACAGGTCCCTTAGTCTTTTCGGGGCCTTTACATGCATGCACACATGACTTTTTCATTCCCCTTGGCAAGATCGTACTCAATTTCCTCATTTACAATCCACTTATCAAACGCAAAGGTCATTTCCATAGGTTGGCTTTATGCTAAGGTCTCATAGCCCTTTGCCTCTCTTCCCTTTTCATTTTGATGCCCGGTTCCTCCCGGCCCTATCCCGATCAAGGCATCCTTAGCCTCCACTTACCTGCGCAATCCCACACAAAGCAAAGATTCATGCAATCCCCGGTTGCGGGTCAACACATAGCCCTTCCCACATGCCTAGTCTTTTCATGTTCTTTGGCTGTTCTTTGTTCCCTTTACTTGCTCAATCAGCCCATCCCCTTCTCATAGTCATGCAGTCGGGGAAATGGTTGAGTCAAATTGACCTCGCTTTCGCTTATACTCTCCTTCGGATTCCGCCTCTTTTTCTTACTTTCTCAACCGCCCTTTCCTTTGCCTTCTAGGTGGCACAAGGGACCGGCAACCCTCCCCTTGCCCTCTTTTTCCACCAAGTGAGGTCTGATCTCTTCTTACCGTTCGCACCTTGACAATGTACCAAGTGAGGGGAGAAGGGTTAATCATATGCCAAGTGAGGGGAAGAGAGAGGGAGAGAGAGGACAAGGCGAAGAGGGAGGGAAAGAGAGGAGTAGAAGAGAAAGGGGGAGAGGGAGAGAGAGAGAGGAAAAAAAAAACAAAAAAAAAGAGAAGGAAAAAAAGAAAGAGAAAGAAAAAGAAAAAGAGAGAGAGAGAGAGAGAGAGAGAGAGAGAGAGAGAGAGAGAGAGAGAGAGAGAGAGAACTTCTAATCCTAATAAAATCAACTCCCCGTAGTAGCAGCCAAATGTCGGTCACCCATCCCACAGTGAAAGATTGAATAAGTATGTCTTGGAACACTTCATCATACATGAACTTCACAATGAGAAGTTAGACTAGTGAAAAACACATACATATAGAGGAAGGATCAACTAAGCAGGAACCAGAACATCACATCATACATGAACTTTGACAATGAGAAACTAGAACTAGTGAAAGGCACACGCACATAAAGGAGAGATCAACTAAGTAAGATCCGGAACATCTCAACACACATGAACATGACAATGAGAAGCTACACTAGTGGAAAGCACATGCACAAAGGGAAGAGATCAACTAAGTAAGATCCGGAATATCACATCAAGCCTGTACTTGACAATGAGAAGCTAGAACTAGTAGAAAGCACATGTACATAGAAGAAAGGTCATCTAAGCAAGAATCGGAACATCTCAACACACATGAGCATGACAATGAGAAGCTAGAACTACTGGAAAGCACATATATAGAGAAGAGGTCAACTGAGTAAGATCTGGAACATTACATCAAGCATGAATCTTGACAATGAGAAGCTAGAACTAGTGGAAAGCACATGCAGACAGAGAAGAAATCAACTAAGTAAGATCCAGAACATCCCAACACACATGAACATGATAATGAGAAGCTAGAACCAATGGAAAGCACATGCACATAGAGAAGAGATCAACTAAGTAAGATCCGGATCATCACATCAAGCATGATCATGACAATGCGAAGCTAGAACTAGTGGAAAGCACATGCACATAGAGATAAAAATAAACTAAGTAAGATTCGGAATATCTCAACACACATGAACATGATAATAGGAAGCTAGAAATAGTGGAAAGCACATGTACATGAAGGAAAATTCATCTAAGTAAGAACCGGAACATCTCAACTCACATGAACATGACAATGAGAAGCTAGAACTAGTAGAAAACACATACATATAGAGAAGAGGTCAACTGAGTATGATCCGGAACATCACATCAAGTGTGAGCATGACAATGAGAAGCTAGAACTAATGAAAAACACATGCACATAGACAAGAGATCAACAAAATAAGATCAAGAACATCTGAACACACATGGACATGACAATGAGAAGCTAGACTAGTGGAAAGCAGATGCACATAAGGAAGAGATCAACTAAGTAATATCTTGAACATCACATCAAGTATGAGCATGACAATGAGAAGCTAGAGTTAGTGGAGAGCACATACACATGGAG